GTCCTCACTTTGGGGCTGTTAGGTCTGAGTAGTGGTGCTGTGAACATTCATGTGCGGGGTTTGTGTGTGAACATCTCTTTCCTTTGGAGTTGTCGGGTTTGTGGCAACTCTGTTTAACCTTCAAAGACTCTCAGATTGTGGTCCAGGGGACTGAACTGTTTTATCTTCCCTCCAGCTGTGATGTGAAGCTCCATATCCTCTTCCTCATCCTCCCTAACATTTGCATATTATCTTTTGGTCTGCACTGGTATCTTGGTGTGATTTGGGCTTGCATTTTCTTGATAAGAGTGTTGAGCATTTTTCATGTATTATTGCCTGGATTTTTTTTTTTTTTTTTTTTTTTTGGTACCAGGAATCAAACTCAGGACCTTGTGCTTGCCAGGCAGGTGCTGTGCCACTGACCTATATCTCCAGCCCTGGCTATTCTTTGTTGAAATGTCTATTCAGATCTTTTGCCCATTTAAAAATTGGTTTTATCCCTTATTGGCCTTTTGGCTAAGATCAAGTGTAGTATCTGTTCTTACCAGTTTAAAGTTGTGTTTTTTTGTTTTTTTGTTTTTCTGTCTTTTTGAGACAGGGTCTCACTATGCAGTTCAGGCTGGCCTTGAGCTCACTTTGTAGCCCAGGTTGGTCTCAAACTCACAACCATTCTCCTTCCTCAGCCTCCCGAGCGCTGGGATTACAGGCATGTACCACCACGCCTGCCTTAAAGTTGCTTTTGATTCCTGACTTATTGATTATAATAGTTCTTTATTATTATTAGTGATTATTTGCTCCACATACAAGTCCCTTATCAGATCTATGATTTCTAAATATTTTATCCAGGTTTCTTTCTTAAAAAAATTTTGTTTTGAGATAAGATATCATTGTGCTGTTCAGGCTGGCCTCAAGTTTGTAATCTTTCTACCTCATCCTCTCAAGTAGCTGAGAGTATGAGCATGTACCACCACCATCAATGGGTTTCCTTTTTTTAAATTAAGTATTTTTAAGTCAAAGAAGAGAAGGAAAATTAATATGTGTTAAGTAACCACAATGATTACAATTATAGTTAGCTATAGTAATGCCAAAATACAGAAGTGATTCCTGCCTTCCAGAACACTGATTTCCTGGCAATTCAAGACCTAGATAATATAGGGAGGAAAAAAAAAAACAAAACAAAACAGGAAATAGGCCAGCAAAGTGATGCTTGCTGTAATCCCAGCTTCTCAGAAGGCTGAGGTAGGAGTATCACAGGTCTGAGGCCAGACTGAATAATTTGGTGAAACCTTGTCATATATAAAATGATAAAAAAAAAAAAAAGAGCTGAGGATCTAGCTCAGTGTACCTGGGTTCAATCTCTAGCACTATCAAAAAACAAAACAAAAACTACACACACACACAAAATAGTATATAATATGTTAAATTGTATATAATCTTGGTTAAATGTAGTATGAAAAATAAGTCTTAGGACTCCAAGGAACTTAGGTTGAAAGTCACTGATTCTTTTTTTTTTTTTGGTTCTTTTGAGACAGGGGCTCGCTATGCAGTTCAGGCTGGCCATGAGCTCACTCTGTAGCCCAGGCTGGTCTCGAACTCGCAACGATCCTCCTGCCTCAGCCTCCTGAGTGCTGGGATTACAAGGGTGCACCACCATGCCTGGCTTATTTTTTTTTTTGGTATGGGGAATCAAACTCATGACCTCAGGCTTGCCAGGCAAGCGCTTGAAAGTCACTGATTCAGAATGTTTCTTTATTTATAATTTGTAATTAAATTTTTTTTATTAGTACATGTCTGCAGTACACAATGAATCATATTCCTTGTGGGGAGTTGGCACATGTACATAATACATCTTAATTCTTTTTACATCCCCATCTCCTCCGCACTTCCCTCCACCTCTTGGTCCCCTTTCCAGTTACAAGAGATCTATCTCCCTTGTTTTGTTTTTTAAAGTGTTTTTTTTTTTTTAATTTGTACATCTTCGTGGGTACACTATGGTAAGTCAGTACATGTAGACAGTGTGTGATGATCAGATCAGGATAGCAAGCATTGCCATCCCTGTGACTGCTCAGCTCTCTGGGTCACTTTGAGTACGGCATAGGATGTCTCAGTCAGTGCCTGCCCTCCTGTACTGAAGAGGAGCTGGAATCGGTGCCTCTCCAGGGTTGTGGTGGTCCCCACCCTGTCTCTCCTGATTGCAACTCCGTTTTGTTCCTCTACAATGAAGTATTTTGAGAAGGATGAGCAAATGTTAATTATTCAAAACAAATTTTGACAATATTTCCCAGTTTGATCCAGTTAAGCATGTAGCTCATGTGTGTTCCATGCATTGTACGTCTTTCCTGCAGGACTGAGCATGGGGGTGCTGTTTTTCATCAGTGCCTTCCCAGTACCAGTCTGACATCAGTCACATGTCCAGTGAACGTTTGCCGAGTGGGTGAGTGAGCAGGCAGCAGGCGGCATGGGACAGAGCTTTTGGGGCTGTGGCACAAGGTAGACCATGTCAGGACAACCAGAGCAGGAGGCTGTCGGGAGCCGCAGAGCCTGGCAGAGCTCAGCCATGAGTGAGCTTCCGAGCGCTGGTCTTTCTGATTGAATCCTGAGCAGCATAAACAACGTTTAGAAACAACTAGGGAAGCCTGAGTGCTAAGTAGCATTTGAGGGCGCCATCAAGACTGTGTGCTAAGCACTGTGACACTCGCTTCTTACTGTCTTATAAAGTATGCTGGGAAAGTGGTATTTCTAGCCTTGGGTAAATTACCAGGATGTCTACCAAGCAGTGTCTTGGAAGTTCTCATTAAGTAGAAGATTGGGACTGAATTATCATTTTAATTGCACTTCACCTAATTTGTCTTTCAAACAAGATTTGAGACAGCAGTTCAAGCTGGTCCCCCTGGTAGCAAAACAAGGTACATAGATGCTATTATTGAAAGACATTTTATTTTTATCTTTTAAATTATCTTAAATTTTTGGCATTTCAAAGATGAGAAAAATCCTTAACATAGGATTAAAACAGGAAAAATGGTTCAGTGAAGCTGTTTTAGCTTGAAGCTTTAAAATCAACTGCTTTTATTCATCAACTGAGGAATGGATAAAAAAGGTGTAGTATTTTTATATAATGGAGTGTTACTCAGCTATAAAAAGGATAAACTTGAGGCTTTTATAGGTGATTGAATGCAACTAGAAACCATACTCATAAGTGAAATAAATCAGACCCACATGTGTAAACATCGTATTTTCTCCCTAGTATAAGAAGCTGAAAGAGTAAATAAGATCCAAAAGGTACAATAGATACTGTGAGAGGAAAAGAAACTGCTCAAAAGGAAAGAACAGCTGGCATGGGGGAAAGGAGAAAAGGAAGGGGGGAAAAAAGATATGTATATAGACACAAGCTAGCTACGATAATTGTACTACTAACTTCTATTAGTTCATTAAAAAGAACAGTTTGTGCTCATATTGTTTGATTAGTTTTTCATACCTATATCTTGTAATCTGAGCAACTACTTTGAAGATAATAATACGCAGTATATCAGCCATTGTTAATCTCCTATTATCATGTTTTGAAATTCTGTGTCATTGTTTTTATTGTTTTTTTCTCTTTAAAATAAAATTAAAGAAATAAAATCAACCTCTTTTAAACATTAAAAATGTCTCTCCAGTATACAATATTCTAATGTAATCTAACAGCAGTGCTGCGTGCTCCGTCATAAGGAGACTTTATGGAGGGCAGGACATGAACCCTGTCATATTTATGGCTTCGATCTTCCACTGCTCAGGGCCGCAGGATATAAATCCTTGAGGTCACTCCGTCAATGAAGAAATGGGTGGTGAAAGAGAACTGAGGAACGGGTTTCCTCCAGCTAGAGTCACCGTTAATGGCTTTGTACGTAAAGCATGGTCTGTTGTAATAAAAAGATTTTTGTGAAAGTGCTAGTTTTCTATCAGACTATTTTTTTTCAATTGAAGAAGGATCATCATTAGCTACTGTGACCCCTGTGTGTATCAGCATACATAAACCTGTGACACATCTAAGTAAATGTTTTTCTTGATAAAATTATTAGTTTTAAGTAAATGTCATGCTTGAATTTCACTCCTTCCTTCCTTTCTCCCTCCTTCCTTTTTCCTTCTACGTTCCTTCCTCCTTCTCTTCCCTCCCTCCCCCACCTTTTATTCTTTCCTTTTCATCCAGTGGTCCTTGGGATGCTCTACCCCTGAGCTACATGCCTGTCTCTTTCTATATTTTATTTTGAGATAGAGTTTTGTTAAGGTACACAGGCAGCCCTCAAGTTTGCTATCCTCCTGCCTCAGCCTCCTGAGTGGCTAGACTACAGGGGTGTGCCACCATGCCCAGCCATGCATTTCTGGTCCAGATGACACTGAAAATGCATTTTTTTCCAGAGAAACTTAGTGACACATAAATGCACCTGTGACCCGCAGGTCTAACCGGTCTTTGATCCTGGTATTTACAACTTCTAGGTATTTTGTTCATGAAGACTTGAGGTCCAAAATACACAAATGGGCAGCAAACAAAGGTATGACAAATCTAAAGAATTCGGTCAATATTCCTATGTAAAATATGCCAACAAAGCATGTTTATTTTATATGTGTAGTTGGCAAATGACTTTGTTTCAGTCTGTTTTCTAAGTATGAAATTTTATGCCAAGCACTGGTGGCAAGGGAAAGGCTTTTATTACTTGGCTCTTTTCTTATTGTGTTTGCGGTGCCAGGGAGGGATAGAACTCAGGGCCTCATGCTTGGCAGGCAGGTTCTCTACCCCTGAGCTGCATCCCTGGTCCCTGTTACTTAAGGAACACAGCATGTTTTCATAGTGAGTGATGTGATTTAGCTGAGAACTAACTGTATCTGGACCAAAGTGACCCTTATTTGACCACAGGTGTTTGTATTAATATTTCATTCCAAAAGCTGTATTAATAATGGCTAAATTCTGGTTGGGTTATTAATTTTTTTTAAGTGTATGGTTGAAGAGAAGCAAGTACACTGACTTCTAAAAATTTGTCATGCAGGATTATCTGAACCGTCCTTGGTTGCAAAACACGAAGACAGCTTGTTTAAGGATTTGTTTCAAGACTACGAAAGATGGGTTCGTCCTGTGAAGCACCTGAGTGACAAAATAAGAATCAAGTTTGGCCTTGCAATATCTCAGTTAGTGGATGTGGTAGGTGTGCATATGGTGATCGACTCCACTTCACAGCAGCTGAGCAAGTTGGTTTGTGCACAGTACTGTCGGTGCCCAGGGCTTCACAGGGTAGTGAGACATGGTTTCCCCCTCAAGGGGCTCAGCAGGGAGGGAAGGTGACCACAGACCCTCTGAGAGAGGGCATCACAGACGTGGTGATGCCCTGCGTTAGTGCGCCATTGTCTAGGACAGGCCCTGTTTAGCTCCCCCGGAAATGAAAATAGCTTTATCTTGAACAAATTCAAAGATGTTAGAATGTTTTGTAATGAAGTTTCTTCTTAGATGTGCTAAGCATATTATCAAAAAGTTTTCAGAGAAACAGTCCAACAGTAGACTTGTAGTTCTTGGGACCAGACGTATTTCAGGAGGTCACAGTTGCAGTATTATGCTTAATACATTTCAGAGATCTGCACCCTCCCCCGCCACATCTGGAGATTGAGCCCACGGCCTTGCCTGTGTGAGACAGAGTGTCCCATGTGACATTCACCACGGAGAATATGTTCCCTTGAAAACTTACTCTTATTGTCAAGGGTTCTCCCTGTTGTTTTTTGTTTGTTTTGAGACAGGGTCTTTCTATGTAGTTCAGGCTGGCCTTGAATCCACTATGGAGCCCAGGCTGGCCTCAAACTTACTCTATTCTCCTGCCTCAGCCTCCTGAATGCTGGGCTGACAGGTGTGTGCCACCACGCCCTGCGCAAGGGTCCTTCCTGCTTAAAAAATCACACTGCTTTTTAAGTTTCTTGTTCTGATCATGTTAACTAGTAATTATTTTTCTGCTCCTTCCACAATAGTCAACAAGTATTTATATGATTGCCATATATATTTTTAAAAATAACATTTATAGATGTACCTTTGTTTTCTGATTAGAGAAGAAATGTACTTTGTAGCCCAGGCTGGTCTCAAACTGGCAATGATCCTCCTGCCTCAGCCTCCTGAATGCTGGGATTACAGGCATGCACCACCACACCCGGAAAAAATTGACATAATTCTACCACCTAGATATGACTACTGTTAACAATTTGTTGTATTTCTTGCCATATTTTTGGGTGTATGTGTGACAAAATTGGAATATTTTAGATGTAATTTTAATTGTTAGCTGCATATTTCCTTTCTCTAATGGCTTTAGGAAATTCTTTTTATAATTGATGCATTCTCTATTATGGGCAGTAGATTGTTTTCTTATTATAAATGATAATGGTGATATTGTTACACAAATGTTTGAATTTCTCCTTTCCCTAAGAAAGGCACTTAGTAAAGGGTTGGGGGTACAGTTCTTGTCTAATGTGTGAGGTCTGGCTTCAATTTTCATCACTGGAAAAAAAAAAAGCAGGTAGTGAATCAGTGAGTGTATGTGTTATTTTATTTTAATTATTTCTTTTTTACTGGCACATATTTGCAGGACATAATGATTACTTTTATCATGGGAAGTTAGTACATTACATAATACATCTTAATTCTTTTTTCATCCCTTCCCCTCCTCTCCTTCAGGGTAGTTTTTGTTTTTGTTTTTGTTTATATAGTGTCTCACTATATAGTTCAGGCTGGCCTTGAACTCACTATGTAGCTGAGGCTGGCCTAGAATTGCAGTGATCCTCCTGCCTCAGCCTCCCGAGTACTGGGATTACAAGTGTGTGCCACCATTCCCAGCAATGTATGCATTTAAATCTATGATACATGTTACCTAATGGCTTCCAAAAAGGTCAGCGGATATACATGGACTGTGTGCTTGGACCTGAGCTCTGGCAATATGGGGATGGGTGAGTGCTGGAAACCTGGATCAGTTTCAATCATGAGGAAGAGTAGGAGCTGATCCTAGAGGAATCAGGAGAGCAGGAGAGGAAAGCATCAGCCATCAGCCAGGCATAGGCGTGGATGAGACTGTCTCTTAAGACAGGCAGTGGCTGTAGAGCGGGGAGCAGCTGGAGCCCTGGAGCAGGAGGTTCAGCAGGACATTTGCTGACCTTCTAGGTGGTTTCATGCTCCTTTCTGTCACTGTACCTCTCCTCGCAGCCCTGTAGCCAGGCTTGGTGGTTCTCCTTGAACTGTCACAGGTCCCTCATTTCCTGTGTGTTCTGCTCTTCTTCTAAAATCTCCATGTTGGTTTGTTTTGATTTTATTTTTATGATCAGGTTACAAACTTACTGCCCCTGAAAACTACTATGTACTTCTGTGTATTTTAACACCCTCCATTTGTTTGTGGTTCTCGCCTGGTGTTCTCGTCTGTTCTCCCTCAGTTTCACTTCTGTTGCCTTCACTCTGCTAAGCACCATAGATATTGGGAGACAGCTGAGGTCACGCTGTATTTCAGCCTTAGCTAAGGGGCTAACGGCCACATCTGGAGGGCCACTTGCAAACTTTCGGAGTGTGTATCTGTGTTACTGCTGGAAACGCTGTTTTGATTGAGTCCTAACCTACAGAAGAAAATTTTATGTGTTTTCACACTTTTCTAGGGAAAGGGTCATCTTTCCTTTGGAGCCAAGCACACAGAGTAATGCTGTGCAGCTGGGCGTGGGGGCTCATGCCTGTAGTTTTAGTACTTGGGAGGCTGAGGCAGGAGGGTCACTGTGAGTTTGAGGCCAGCCTGGGCTTCAAAGTGAGTTCAAGGCCAGCCTGAACTACATAGTGAGATCCTGTCTCAAAGAGACAAAAAACAAAGCAAAACAAAATCAAACCAAACTGCTGTACTTGTGTCTTAGATTTGAAGAAATGAGTGTTAACTCGAAAAATGCCAATGGTATGTATGCTTCCGGGCTGTTCATCTGAAATACAGAGTATGTGGAAAGGAATGATTTGAAACTAGGCTGGGAAAAAGATGCTACTTGTCTAGAGAAACAAGATCGATGAGCAGAAGGTCCGCTCTGTATGGGAGGCATGTTTGTATAAACACGTAGAAATTCTTAAAGAATTATTTCTTTAATTGAAATAATCAACTTTATTTCAATTTGTATTTTCTAGGATGAGAAAAATCAGTTAATGACAACAAATGTCTGGCTGAAGCAGGTGGGTGTGCCATTCCAGTGGCCTCGGCGCAGGGCTGGCTCTGCCTTGACCCAGGGCTGCAGCACGGAGTGTGTTGCTGTGCAGTCTTTGGGGCTGGGCAGGATGCAGAGTTCTCGTATTCATTCCATTTTTGTTTGTGGACTAGGGATCAAACCCTGGACGGCTGCACTGAGCTACATCCCCAGCCCTTTAAAAAAATTCTGAGTCAAGGTCTCATTAAGTTGCTAAGTTGCCCAGGCTAGGCTCAGTCTTGCAGTGCTCCTGCCTCAGCCTCTCAGAGTGCTGGGGTTACAGACCTGTGCCAACCACTCCCAGCTGCAGTTAGCATTTTTTGAGTGGCTGTTATGTGTCAGGCACTGTGCTCAGTGCTTGGGAAAAAAAAACAAAACAGTGAACAAAGCAGACAGAAATCCCTCTCCTCAAGGAACTTCATTCTGTGAGGGCTGTAGAGAATTACCCAGTAAACTACGTAGCACCTTGGGTGCTGGTGAGCTTGGAGACAGATGGGTTGAGAAAGGACAGAGTGGGACTGTACTTATGCACAGAACTGTGGGGAAAGCTATCCCTTAGACGCACCGGTTGTAGGAGGATGGGGAGGAGATGTAGCAAGCCCTGTGGGTGCGAGGAGGAGATTTCCAAGCAGAGGGGCTGACGAGCACCAAGGCCAGGAGACTGGGGGGTGCCTAGGCTGCGTGTTGGGGAGCAACAAGGGGGCAGTGAACATGGGCAGAGTGAGTGCCCGGGATGGGGGTAGAGATGGTACAGAAAAGGGATAGGAGGCCCCTGGAGTCGGGACTCACAGGCCCCCAAGAGGATTCCGGCTTTTACTTGGAGTAAGATGGGAATGGGGAGAATGTAATTAATTGTTTTTATAGACAGGGTCCCTTTTATGTAGAAGTCCCTGTTCTTCTGGGTTCCCATAACATGCATCATCAGTAGCTGTTGGTGCTTCCCCATGTTCTTTCCTTGTCACGCTGAATTCTCACAGCTGCACCCAGCTCCCCATCTCCAGACTCCTGCAGGGCGGTGTGCTCTTCTTGGAGTGCAGCTCTGAACTTCATCACCGTGTTGTTACCTTAAGTGTGTGCATGTGTCAGCCAAGTCAGGTGACAGTCCAGCTGGAAGAAGAGTGTCTCCCCCGAGCCTGGAACTTCGGCCCATGCAGTCAAGTCTTGGCTGTGGTCAGGGAGGGGAGCAGAACTGCCAAACAGAGCCACCAGGGCACTAGCTCTGTTTGTCATCTGTTTCTCATGAGGACCAGGGCCACAGCCACTGCACCAGGGGACAGGATTCTGCTCTAGTGCCATACCGAAGAGGCAGGAATAGAGATTCTAGGCTTGACCAAGAGTCCAGTTTTCACTGTTTCTGACTATCATTTTGATTGAAACTGAGGCAGATTTCTTCATTTTAAAGGAGTGGGTAGATGTAAAGTTGAGATGGAACCCGGATGACTATGGCGGGATAAAAGTTATACGCGTCCCTTCAGACACTTTGTGGACCCCAGACATCGTCTTGTTTGACAAGTAAGTTCCGTCCTAAATACCCCTTTCTGTTTTCTAAAGAAAGCTTGTACTACTACTGGGCACTAATAATTTTTCTCTCTTTTGAAAATTGTTTAGTTATAAAACCAAATGACTTCATCTTATGTTCTTTTGTTAAGTAAACCTACAAATAAGTTCTGTGGATCCTCCTTTTTTTGTTTGGTATACATTTTTTTCATAAAAGTGTTCTGATTTCTGAAATTTGCGAAAGCTTTGGGAGGTCCTGGAAGGTGGAAGGAAGAAGGGGGGAAATTAGGGGCAACCGCTGCTATTAGCGTCCACCTGTGCCCGGCGATAGCTGACCAGGGCCAGGTGTGCTGCGTATCATTTGACTGTCAGGGCAGCCTCTCATGCCGGGTACTCCACAGCACGGTGACATCCCCATCTGGCCTCTTACATACTAGATTACTTATTTGCAGACTTCAGATTTTGGAGGATACTGTTGAGGTCATATATTATGCTCAAATATGTACTCATCCTTCTAACTTTGTTTAAATACTGTATTGCCATTTTCCTATGATGATGAATGTTTGTTGGCTTATATAGTTCAGGCTGACCTTGAACTCATTGTGTAGCCCAGGTTAGGCGTGAACTCACAGGGATCCTCCTGCCTCAGCTTCCCAAGTGCTGGGATTATAGGCAAGTGCCACCATACCTGGCACGCGTAGGTATGTTCTGAGGATCTTTTTCTTCAGTACTGGGGATTTAACCCAGGGACATTGCACCAGTGAGATACATCCCCAAATCTTTTTAGATTTAAGACAGTCATGCTAAGTTGCCCTGACTGGCCTCAAACTTGGCATCCTTCTGTCTCAGCCTTCCGAGCAGCTAGAAGTGTGTGCTGATAGGCATGGTGTTTTCTGTTTAATTTGGGGAGAGGCTAAGTCTGGGTATCGGTTTTGTTTTCTCCCCTAGGACCACTCTAGGGAAAGTCCAGGAATTTGTGCTTATCCTAGAGCATACTGGCCTACTTACAAAAAGGCACTTGGCACAAAGGATGGAGAAAGATGCCGTGCGGCAGAGATCTCTGGGACATTTTACCACTGGGCTTCCCTGTGCAGGAGGGGAAGTGGGCTTGTATGTAACTGAGGTGGCCTCCTGCCTTCCCCTTCACTCTCAGTGATTGAAAGCAGTTTTGTACTAAACCCAGAAATATTTTTTGTTTTTTTTTTTTGCTTTTTTATTTTTTAATTTTTTTGTCTTTTTGAGACAGAGTCTCACTATGCAGTTCAGGCTGGGCCTTGAACTCATTTTGCAGCCCAGGCTGGTGTCGAACTCAACAGCGATCCTCCTGCTTCAGCCTCCCAGGTGCTGGGATTACAGGTGTGTGCCACCATGCCTGGCTAAACATGGGAGTATTACAGAGTGCTGCCAAAGGCACGGGAATTAGAAGAAAATGAACAAGACTTTAAAAACCATGCATCCGGGATCAGCTTTGTGCTGGGAAGCTGGTTCGGTGCCATCCCGAGCTGTGCCTACCTTGCGCCTGTGCCCGCCTGTGCCAGTCTGTCTCCCTGGGGAGCAAGTGCCAGCACTTATGCTGCAGAAAGAACAGGGTGTGGGGAAGAGGAGCATGGATTCGGGTTCTGGCTCTGCGTGTAAATAGCTGGATTCTATTTTGTGCGTAAAGTGAGGTCCTTTCAACCGCTAGAATTTCAGAAAGGAAGATAGAGACTTGTCAGTTGGGAGCAGAAGGGAAGAACAGCTTTAGTCCCAGTGGCTTCAGATATGGAAGGAAGATGTCCCTGAGCAGGTCCCTCTGTGCAGCAGGTGTGTGTATTTTCTGCTGTCGGTTTTGGCTTTCTTTAGCTGGGCTTGCAGGGTGCACACCTGGCCTGTCTAACTCGGCACTGTCCTTGCTCACGTGTATCTTGCAGTGCAGACGGACGCTTTGAAGGTGCCAGTACAAAGACCGTGGTCAGGGCCAACGGCACTGTCGTCTGGACCCAACCTGCAAACTACAAGAGCTCCTGCACCATAGACGTCACCTTCTTTCCTTTCGATCTCCAGAACTGCTCCATGAAGTTTGGGTCTTGGACCTATGACGGTTCACAGGTTGATATCATCCTTGAGGACCAAGATGTGGACAGGACAGACTTCTTTGACAATGGGGAGTGGGAAATTGTAAGCGCCACGGGGAGCAAAGGAAACAGAACTGACAGCTGCTGCTGGTACCCCTACGTCACGTTCTCCTTTGTCATCAAGCGGCTGCCTCTCTTCTACACCCTGTTCCTGATCATTCCCTGCATCGGGCTGTCCTTCCTGACCGTGGTCGTCTTCTACCTCCCTTCGAACGAGGGCGAGAAGATTAGCCTGTGCACTTCCGTGCTTGTTTCGCTGACAGTCTTCCTCCTGGTTATCGAAGAGATCATCCCCTCCTCTTCCAAAGTGATCCCTCTGATTGGAGAGTACCTAGTGTTCACCATGATCTTCGTGACGCTGTCCATCATGGTGACCGTCTTTGCCATCAACATTCACCACCGTTCTTCCTCCACCCACAATGCCATGGCGCCCTGGGTCCGCAAGGTGTTTCTTCACCAGCTTCCCAAGCTGCTGTGCATGCGAAGCCATGTGGACAGGTACTGCACCCCGAGAGAGCAGGCCAGCGGGGACGGCAGGCCTGGGCAGGCCAGAAATACGCTGGAGGCCGCTCTTGACTCCATCCGCTACATCACCAGGCACGTGAGGAAGGAGCACGCCGTGCGCGAGGTCTGTGCTGAGTTTAGGGGTGCAGGTCTGCTTCAGCGCTAGATAAGTGGAGATCCTAGGGCTCAGTGGGGATCGAGGGTCAGAAATCCCCAAGGCAGCTTTCCCTTGAACCATAGGACATCTGCACAAACCTCACCTCCCATGGCCCCCAGCGGCCTTCGGGGTGGCTCTGAGGAAGTCAGTGGTGTGCTTTGCAAGGATCTGTGATCTTGCCATGATTTACTGTTTTAATTTACCATTGGTAACGGTTTCTGAACTCCATAGTAACCTGCAGGCACAGTTGCATTATCCTTTATCAAAAGTTATTTTAATTTTTAAAGAATGAGCCTGGTGTTGGCTTTATAAATATGTACAGTCAAGATATGTTCTAGAATTCTTTTTTGCCGGGCATGGTGGCTCATGCCTGTAATCCCAGCACTCAGGAGGCTGAGGCAGGAGGATCATTGTGAGTTCAAGACCAGCCTGGGCAACAAAGCGAGCTCAAGGCCAGCCTGAACCGCATAGCGAGACGCTGTCTCAAAAAACAAGACAAAAAAAAAAAAAATAGAATTCTTTTTGGGCTCATATACTAGAGAATGTTAGGGGAAGGAAAGGAATCAAGTGTCCGTGTGTGTTATGATTTCCACCTTGGATGGTTCACAGGAAGCTGAGTAAAAGTATGCTTCACTTGCTTAAAAAATTTGCTCAAATCTTTATTATAGAGAAGTAAGTTTCACTAGCTCCTTATTTGAGGTTATTTAAAATTAAAGAATTGAACATAAATAAGTACATTTAACTGATAATATTACACTGGGTTTTCCTTGAAAATATGCGAAATTTTAATCATGTTGCTGTATTTCCCCTATTTCTCTTACATAATATTTCTAAAAGCTGTCACTATAGTAATATATTCATAATTGAATTTACATTGTCCTGTTATCATTATATAAGTTCTATTTTCTAAAACTTTCTTAAAAATGGAAAAATTTCGGGTCTGGGTAGCAGATGAGACAACTCTGATAAAATAATAGTTATTCTCCTAAAAGGGACGTTTGACACATACATCTAATAAACTTTTTATTTGCTGCTGTTGTTTGAGATCAGGTCTTGCTATGTTGTCCACACTGACCTCAAACGTCTGGGCTCAAGAGATCCTTCTGCTTCAGCCTCCTGACTAGCTTGGACCACAAATGCCCACCCAGCTTACATCTAGTAAACTTTTAATGCTTGTGGACTAGTAGTTTCCATCTGATGGTGATATAATTAGTTTAGAAGGCCTGAAGCTATCAGTTTTGAGAAATACAGATCTCAGTTTGACCTGAAATGGAATTTAATGCACTCCCACCAAGCATTATGGACCAGGGTGAGGACTTGCTGGGACCAAGGGTGAGCTTTACTTCTGAGGGATACACAGACCCAGACAGACACAGAGGCTACACTCCCCCTGCCAGCCTGGATGCAGCTCTGGAGCCTTGTGCTTTGCTGCTCAGAGTACAGTAGCCCCTGTAGAGGATGCAGCCCTGGAAGAGCAACTCCAGGGCTCAGGCAGATCCCTCTGTCTTAGTGTGGTGGCTCAGGCCTGCTGAGACTGCCCCAGGGCTACAGTTTTGTCCTCCCAGGTTCCAGGTCCCCTGGAAATCCAGAAGCCATGAAGTAGGTGAGGGAGAGAATAGCCACTCCCTAATGTGGCTTGTTCTGAGCCAACTTTCAGTTTGATGTAAAATTAACCTCAGGCTGGTGTGTCTCAATAAAAAAAACCTTAGAAGTTAAACAGGGCAAGAATAAGTAACAGAAATAACTGTATATAGTACAAATATAGGATTTATTATAATATATCAAGTAGCTGTGTTTATGATACTGGACATTGAGCCTAAGGCCTTCATACTGAGCTATATTCCCATATTCCCAGTGTTTGTTTGTTTGTTTTTTTTTTTTTGGAGGCAGCGTTTGGCTAAATTGCCTGGGCTTGGCTCAAACTTGTGATCCTTCTGTGTCAGCCTCTCAGGCAGAGTGCTGGGATTACAGGCATGCATTACCATAACCAGCTCCAAGTAGTAGTTTATTAAAAACCCATCAAACCACTTGTACTACGCAAACAAGCGGATCTGTGAAGGAACACATTTTGTAGTGTCTTTCCAAGCAGTAGGAGCCTTTGCGTCTTAGACTGTCAGGGTGGTTCTGTCCATGAATCCTTTTTTTATTTTATTTTATTTTATTTTATTTTTTTGGTTTTTTTCCAGTACCGGGAATCAAACTCATGACCTCACACTTGCTAGGCAAGTGCTATGCCACTGAGCTAACTCCCCAGCCCCTGTCCCTGAATCCTGAGAACAGAGGCATTTACTGTTTGGAGGCAGCAAATGATTTGGTCTCTTAACTCAGTGTGTTGTAAAAATATGTACACAATTTATATTTACGTGTTTAATGTTTTTTATTTTTTGTAACAGGTGGTTGAAGATTGGAAATTTATAGCCCAGGTTCTTGATCGGATGTTTCTGTGGACATTTCTTCTGGCTTCAATTGTTGGATCTCTTGGGCTTTTTGTTCCTGTTATTTATGAATGGGCCAATATAATAGTACCGATTCACATCGGAAATACAAATAAATGAAACTTCCCAAGGGGTTGTGGGATGAATTTAGTTAGCAAACACACATTTTATGGCATCTCTACAAATATGGCAGTGTAAAACTGTTTAAAATTCAATGCAAGCTGTAGCCAATTAGCTGTTGGTAACACTGGTTTATCTTAGTGATTGTCCATTAGAACATTTATTTGCATGGCTAAGGTAATAACCACAAACAGCAGCAAAACAATGTTCAAACTGACCTAGAGAAAATCTAATGTTTGTACCCTGGCAAGTAATACTAATTTGTAATCACTAGTGAAGTTCATTTTTGGAATCCGGGAAAATTCTGTTGGTATCTGAAGACAGATTTAATTTTTTTTCAGGATTTTATAAAGGTATGTACTTCTTTGGTTTTGTTTTCTGAGATAGAATTCTGTTAAGCTGCCCAAGCTGGCCCCAAATACATGGGCTTAAATGATCCTCCTGCTTCAGCCTCCTGAGTAGCTGGAACTATAGGCATGTGCCACCATGGCCTGCTAAGGTATGCATTCTAAAATTCTTCTGTCCTGTATTCACCGAGTAACAGGTAATTTGTAGTATATTCTACTGCTATGTTTGGTAAGCTGACTATTCATTAAATAAATTCTTAATGTGATGCTGATATTTCTACAAACATCTTAAATAAATGAACAATTGGGATGGAAACTCCAGGGCTTATTTTATTCTGTAGATGCCTACACTGAGTGTTGTACCAACTATTTTTATACCTTATCTTGCACTGTGCAACCGTACAACAGGTAACTCCTGTGGATATGCTGCAGGATATCCTTCAGCAGTAGAACATCCTAACATTAATTCCAGTCGCCTTGTCCATATTCTCCACAATTAACAGAGCCATGTATAGAACGGTGGTAGCATGTCTTTATCTTTGATCTCAGAACAGGCTACTGTAGTTACACAGATCCCATTTCACAGGGATGTCTATGTCTCGATCACTCTATAAGAAAACCATCTTCCAAGCTTAAAAGATTATATTCCAATTTGGTATAAGCAAATTGTTACACACCTGTAATGTTTCAGTTTTCTTTCATTCTAGCAGTTATGGTAATAGAACCTTAGAATTGCAAAGGCCTTTAGATACAATCTAGTTTAAATCTATTAGTAGTAAAGTATTTATGAGGACAGTAAAATGTATCACAGGCAAACAGTTAAATTTCATCTCTTAAATGACCTTGACTTACCTACGACCAGGAAGAAAACACTGATAGAAAACTTGCTTTTGATTTAGAACTCTTAGCTGGTCAAATTCCAAATGGCTCATTTATTAATAGAAAGTAACCCATCTATGTTCACATCACTACTCTTCGGAAGACAGAAGGGTCCCTTGTGTCACTTATATTTTATAATAGGCTGGTGCTTAATGTCCTTTAATGAGTGAAAATTTGTGCTGTTAGTTGGATAAGTGTCCCCTAAGGCCTAGATATAGAAGGTTAGTCCCCAGCCCGCAGTGCTTTTGGGAGAGGGGGGCCTGGTGGGAGGAAGTGAGGTCACAGAGGGTGTGGCCTTGGACAGGATGTTGGGACCCGCTAGCTTCTTCTCTCACTGCTCCCTGGAGGCCATGAGGTGAACAACAAAAATGTACCTTTTCTCTTTTAGAGTTAATTAGCTGAGGTATTTTGTCACAGACAGAAGGCTATTGCAGAAAATTGGAAGTAAGTGGGGTTGTTGCTGTGGCTATTTTTGACAATGTTTCAGAAACCTTCAGAATTGGGTTGTGGGAGGAATTTGGAAAATTCTGGCATAAACAGCTTAAGGGTCAGTTCCGGTGAGGATACAGGGGACTAGAATGCTGATAGAAATATGGACAGGAAAGGTTATGCAGATGAGCTTTCAGATGGAAATAAGGACTCTATTGGGAATTAGACACCTTCCATTACATTTTGGCAAAGAATATGGATTCCTTGTATTCACATTCTGAGACTCTGGGAATCTTACCTCAAAGGCGGTAGACTAGTTTATCTGGCAGAGGAAATTTCAAGGTACTACAGCATTCAGCCTGGGTATTGCTGGCTGCTTTTAGGCAGATTTACAGGGACAACAAAAAGTGGAGAGAAAAGATTTGGGAAACTTAGTTTAGCTGGAGGAGTATGTTTTAAGGTGCTACCGAAGAAGATACAGTTCGTAAAGAGATTAACACCATTAAAAAGAAACAACATACTTTGCACCAGGACAAGAGGAAAAATGCCTTGAGGGTATCTCAGGAATCAGCAAGACCTCACCCACCAAAGGCTTAAAAGTGGAAAGGTACAAGCTCATGTCAAAAATTCCTTAGAGAAGAGAGCAGAGGATGCCCTGCTTATGTAGAGCCAGCTAGGGAACTGTGTCCCTGAGATTCATATCCTGTGTGTAGCGACTGAGCCACTCCACTCCACTCCACTTCAGCCATTGTTCAAATGGGCTCCTGCACAGCTCATGCTGGGGGTCTTGGCATCATCCACGTGGTGCTGGTTTTGCAGGCATGGATGCAGAATGCAAGGGCTATGGGGTCTTGGATGCTCCCCCCATGATTTTAAAGGACAGCCTGGGAGGCCTGGTGTTATGTGGCAGGGTCAGAGTCCCTGCAAGAGCCCCTGAGGTAGGTGATACATGCAGCTGTGCAACTGAGGCCAGTGCTGCAGGGGAGACTGTGTAGGCTGCAGCCAGCAAAGCCATAGGGGTCGGGCTGCCCATGTCCTTGGGATCCTAATTTTTTGGGGTTATCCTAATATTTACCTGTGTGTCCTGGATGGCAGGCATGGATACCATGTTTGCCCTGAGGAGCTTCAGTCTTACTCTGGTCTGACCCTTCTTTCTGTGTCTCTGTTCCTCCCTTTGGAATAGGAATATTGACCCTGTGCCATTGAATCTTGGAGAATACAACTTTCTGTTTGATTTTCATAGGAGCTTACTGCCGAGTTTGCCTTGAGTTGGGAAGGAAACTTCGGATTTGGACTTTTAGGCAACTCTGGAACAGTTAAGACTTTGGGGACTCTTGAAGGGGGACTAAGTGTGTTTTGCATTATGAGATGGACATGAGTCTTTGGGGGCCAGCGATGGAATGTTAAGGTTTGGGTAAGTGTCCTTGAAAGCCCATATGGGGAAGGCTTGGCCACCAGCCTGTGGCGCTCTTGGGGTCGGGGGGTGGAACCTTCAGGAGGTGGGACCTGCTGAATGCGAGGCCGTGGAGGGTGCGCCTGTAAGGAAGTACTGCACTCAGCGCCTTCCTCTTTGTCTCCTGGCCCCCTCTGAGCCGAACAGCTCTGCTCCGCGTATACTTCACACACGGATGTGCTACCTCACAACAGGCCGGCAGACAGGGATAGAACTGGGAGCCAAATTAACTTCTGTTTTCCATGAATTTTTTATTAGTACACATTTGTAGCGCACAGTGATTACATTCATCTTGGGGAGTTGGTACATATACATAACACATCTTCATTCATTTTACATCCCATTCCCTCGCCCTCCAATTCTAGTCGCTTTCCCATTTGCAAAAGATCTGTCTCTGAGTCCTATTACTCACCCTTTATTTTGCTCTTCAAATTATTTATACTTTGGGTTTCTCATATAAGAGAATATTGAAGCTTGAGTGTCTGATTTATTTCATTTAACATTATGGTCTCAGGGTCCCTCCATTTTCCCACAAATGGCTCCTTTATCTTTCTTTATGGCAGAGTAGTACTCCATTGTGTATACATACCACATTTTCTTTTCCATTCATTTGTTGAGGGATATATAGGCCACTTCCAAGATGGAGCTATTATGAGTTGCTCCACTATAAACATGGGTGTGCATGGATCACCACGATATGATGCCTTTAACTCTTTGGGAAAATATCTAGAAGGGGAATAGCTGGGTCAAATGATTTCTAGTTTTAGTTTTCTGAGGAATCCATAGTGGTTGTATTAATTTACAATTCTACCAACAGTGGAGTTCCCTTTTCCCTGCAGCCTCGCCAGCGTTTATTATTGAGAGTAGCCATTCTTTCTGAAGTTGTTTTAATCTGCATTTATCCAGTGGCCAATGATATGGACTATTTTTTTTATGTATTTATTGGCCACTTGTAGTTCTTCTGAGAAGGGTATATTCATTTTACTTGGTTATTTTTTGACCTGGGTCTTTTATTTTAAGGGTCTGATTTTTTTGTGGGGGGTTATATATTTTAGACCTTAGTCCTCTGAGGAGTAGCTGGCAAAATTTTTTTCCCATTCTGTAGTTTGTCTCTTCACTCTGTTGTTTGCTTTGCTGTACAGAAGCTTCTTAATATAGTCGCATTTGTTATACCTGCTGCTATTTCTCATGCAATTAGGTTTCTGTTCAAAAAGTATACCATGCTGGGCGTGGTGGCGCATACCTATAATTCCAGCACTTGGGAGGCTGAGGCAGGAGGATTGCTGTGAGTTCGAGGCCACCCTGGGCTACAAAATGAGTTCAAGGCTAGCCTGAACTGCATAGTGAGATCCTGTCTCAAAATGACACAAAAAAAAAAAAAAAAAGAAAAGAAAAGAGGTATACCAGACCGGTGGTTTTCAGGGCGCCATGATCCAGGAGTGGTCTGGCTTCTCCTTACAAACCCCCTTGACACTGGACTTCAGCCTAGCGAGTTTCTGTTTACTCTCCTGTATCACACTTTGTTTTTAGCCCACACCTCAGGGAACCTGCTTTTCTCCAGTACACAGTTTGTATGAAGTTAATTAGCTCAGGTACGTATTTTATCACAGTGACAGAAAGCTCACTAATAGCTTGAGCAGTTGGCATCAAACCAGACTCTATCTCAATTTGTGCACATTTTAATCTTTTATATCATCATTACTGTTAAACATTTTTGTATATCAGTAAATTTTATAGACCTCTGCCTCTGACTCACAGAAATGTGTCACAGTGGGCTACAATGATCAGTTTTTATTTTTATACAGGAAAAATCTTGTGACTAGTGAGAAGATTGAAATGGTCTCTGATCATTTGTTGGGTTATTCAGAGTTAGAAATATAGTATGGGAAACTTTAACTTATGGCAGTGCTTCTCAACCAGGGCCATTTGTGTCCCTGAGGTGACATTTAGCAATGTCCAGACATTTTGGTCTCGCAGCTGATGAGGGAGGAGGCGTGTCGTTGGCCTTCGGTGAGTGGAGGCCATTAGTACTACTCACCATCCTACGGTGCACAGGGGACAGCCTCCATCTCCACCTCCAGCACAGTTACCAGCTCAAAAAGTTTACAGGGCTGAGGTTGGGAAACTCTGCTCTAGAAGCTCATGCTGTGTTCTGAATGTGTCTTCCTGAAATTCCTATGTTAAAGTCTAATACTCAATGTGGTAGAGGTAGGGCCTTTGAGAGACCTCCAGGTGACAAGATCATGCCTCCATGATTGGGATCAGTATCCTTATAAGAGACCCAGAGACAGCCCCTGAGGCAGCGGGGGACACAGCCAGAGGGCGCCCCCTGAGGAAAACGCCTCCCCACACACCAAGGCTTGCTGATGCCTTATCTTGGATATTCCAAGCTCTTAAAACTGGGACAAATTTCTGTTTATTTACCTGGGTGTTGATGGCATTTTGTGATGTGTGTCCCAGAAGAGCAGAACAGTTCATTAACAGTGGGTGATTGTGTGACTTAGTATAGACAGATGACTTGGTGGTGTGACCCTGAGACTCTGGAAAGGCAGTTAAGAACAAGAAATGCTCAGTAAGAAATGATGCGGGGAGGGCCCTGCTGAAATACACAAACTTCAAGGAGATTATGGGCCAAGTAAGAAAAACCACTGGGAAACCCATCACTTCACGTTTCTGAACAAGTTTTTCTCTCCAATTGGGGTTCAACCACTAAAAGAGGAACATGTGACATGTTGTACAGCACACTACTTATCAGTTATATTTTGACATTTCCCTTACTGAAAAGACTAGTTAAATGTTCATTTATTTATAGTAAGTATGCTCGTCATTTTTCTTACATGGTTATTTTTGCCAAAAAAAGCCCCAAGGTAACTGGAAAATAAGCCTTGAAATGGCAAAATAAAGCTGGCAGCGTGTAACCAAGTGTGTCACTATTGAGATACACCCCCCTCCCTCCACAGGACAGCCTCAGACAAACCCCACACAGAGCTCACACATCATCCCTGACCATCAAGGGTTGGAGAAACAACCCCGCTGTTCCCAGGATGCACACCAGGATGAAGACCCACAGAAAGATGCGATCAATCACCATGGCGACGTACTTCCAGTCATCCTGAATCTAAAAACAAGAGAGAAAAACCATGAGCAAGAAAACAAAGCATGATGGGAAAGGCAAAGTGAATACATTTTAAATATTGGGTTTTTTTTTGTTTTGTTTTTGTTTTTTTTGTTTTTTTTTTTTGGTTTTTTCCGGTACCGGGAACCGAACTCACGACCTTGCGCTTGCCAGGCAGGCGCTTTTGCCGCTGAGCTAAATCCCCAGCCCCTGAGCTAAATCCCCAGCCCCACATTTTAAATATTAAATGCTTAATGTGATGTAGTAGCAGGGAAAGCCCTTTTACCTACAATGTACAAAAAAGTCTTTTTTCCCAATTGATGTGGTCTGAAATCTGTTCTCCAGTTTTGCTTTATGCATTTCAGAAGTTGGCGTAAAATATTTGTCATGTTCTGCTTCAAATTAGAAATTCCTTTACATCTATCTATCTATCTATCTCACCTATTGGAGGGGTTGAGACAGGGTCTCACTGTGTAGTTCAGGCTGGCCTTGAACTCATTTTGTAGCCCAAGGTGGCCTCGAACTCACAGTGATCCTCCTGCCTCAGCCTCCCAAGTGCTGGGGTTACAAGTGAGCACCTCCAGGCTGGCCAGATAACCTATTTTTTCTAAATTGAATTTCAATTTTGTAAAGTTGGTAAAACCAGTTATTTACATCTCTATGGAAGGATTTGGGCCCTTTGATGGAATGGTGAATATAACCCACCATCATCTGCCATTGTTTGAGAGTTCTTCTTGTTACCTAGTTTTAGGTAGTAATTTCCCTTTCACACCTGTTTCAGAGTGAAACACACCTGTCAACAGGCACCATCCCCTTCCTCCCCACCACTCTCCAAAACGCCCAAGTGTCATCTTCAACACAAAGCCAGAGCACTGTAGAAGACCAAGTTACTAAGCAGGTCAAACACCAGAAATAACCGCCACAATGAGGTAGAAGGCAATAAAAAGAGCAAGACTAATTGTACATAATACAGCTTTGATTTAGGCTTGAAACAGGAAGGAGAATTATATGGTAATTAAACTCCCAGACAATTGAGAAAGCAAAGAAACCATAATTGAATTGAGAGAGAGAGAAAAAAACCCATGAATCAACTGATTCTGAGCAGTAATCGCATAATAAAGAGTCAGCATGTAATTGTGGGCGACGTGGATTTTATTTCACCATTATGAAGCTGTGTACCTGTGTCCTCTCAATGACACCAGGAAGTCATGGGGAAAGTAGGCACTGTCATGCCCTATTTGCTTTGTTACTTAACTTGATCTCCTGGGACCCCAAATCTCTTACTATAGACTCTGATTCCTGCCCACCCTCTGCAGACTAAGGCTCAGGAAGTGCACGCTGGAAAGCAGAGACTTGGAAATAAACTGATGAGAATCCCAGCTCTGCCCCCTCCCAGCTGACATGGGTGTCAGTTCCTTTCCTCAGTCCCAAAGTCGTCTTCTGTAAAATGGGAATGAGAGCGGTGGCTGCGCCTCAGCATGGTTTCAGCAGAGTCCTTACCAAACAGAAGTCATTTAAAAAATCAATAGGTTCTCTCACTGTGTGAACTGCCTCCAATAGCAGCTCACGAGGTTTAGCCCAGTGAAGAAAGCTGGGGGACCTGGCACAATGACCCACACCTATAACATCAGCTACCTAGGAGGCTGAGGCAGGAGGAGTGCGAGTTTAACGCCGGTAAGATCCTGTCACAAAAGTAAAAAGGGCTTGGGGTTTAGCTCAGTGGTAGAGCACCCCTGGGTTCAGTCCAAAGCACTACACATGCACACACATACACAAGGGGCCAAGATGAACTCATCCGCCTATAAAACACAGTGCCAGTGGCCACCTCTGCAAACATGGGAACTAATGCTGTCAGGTAGAGGGTGCTGGGCACAGAGGTGAACTGGCCCAAGCTCCTGGCCTCTAAGCCCAGCCAGACACTAGAGACCACACAGAAGCAAGAGAGGACAGTGCCTTGGTGGCTCAGGAACTGGAGACCAAAGCCCCTAAGGGGTCTCTGTGGAGGGAACGCAGGGAGAGCTTTGGCCTGAGTGCTTTTCCCTGCCACTCCAGCCAGAGACACAGGGCCCAAGGTCTCCCTCCCCTAAGTCAAGAATGAGCTTCAGTCTGGGCAGGAGGGGCTGGGAGAGGCCAGAGGTCCCTGCAGAGACAAGGCCGCCTGCAGAGGAGGCAGCACCTGGATGACCGAGCCAGTATGTGGCCCCAGGTGACCTCAGCCTTGTGTGGCCCCACAACCACACCTGGCTGATAAAATTCACAGAGCACATAGACCAAGGACTTTAACACACTGTCCTCAGAGGTTGGAGAATCTGGAAATGTGAAGGAGGAACAAGAACCTTTAGAGAACAGCCCCACATGAAAGGTGTGAGAAACGACAGGTGTGAAACACATGCAGATGATAGAAAAAACTGTGATGAACTCAGGAGAGCAGAGGGGGGTTTGGGGTTGGCAGCTGCTGGCCTGGGAGGAGGAGTTTGGGGCAGGATGGGTGGGGCTGCCTACCAGGAGCTCCGAAAATGAGAAGGAAGGAGTGGGAAGGAACCAGTACAGGAATAACCCAGGATGGATAAAGACGAGCCCCCAGTGGGAAACAGTGCACGGGAACACCAAGCCCACTCGGTGAGACGCTCATCTGCCAGACACGTCCTGTTGATGTCACCGGATTTCTCTACAAATAGAAAACCCTAGTGGCTTCTAGACAGCATGCCAAAGACACAACACTCTGATTAACCTAAAACTTTTCCAAAAGTGACAATGCCCGTGGATGTTATTTTTTAACTACTTAAGGAAAAGAACTCCTACATTAGCATTTTTAGCCAGCTAAATGCCCCCTTTAGTGTGTGATGTGGTGGTACACGCATGTAACCTCGGCATTCTGGGAGGCTGATGCAGGAAGATCACAAGTTCGAGTCCAGTCAGGGCAACTTAGTGACTTATCCAGATGCTGTCTCAAAATAAGAAGCAAAACACAGCGGGATGTAGCTCAGTGGGAAAGCCCTGGGTTCGGTCCCCAGTACCTCACACTTGGATACATGTGTACTCAAAGGAGAAGGCACATAAATTAACCCTCCTGGGCCTCAGAAGGTTTACCCATCAATGCTCTTAAAATATGATGAAAAATAAATCGGAGCTCCTAAAAAAATATATGAGAAGGCTAAGTAAGTTCAATAAAGATCATTGGACACTTTAAAAATGAATTGCATACAGGATCCTAATAACCTCAATGAATGTGGACATTATATGTCACAAACATGACCTAGGATCAACAATATCAACAAGAATGAACAGGGGAAGAGGGGAAGGGGATTAAAAAAAAGCTGGTGCATGTACGTAACCCAACTCCCCAAGATGACTATACAATGCATGTACTGCAAACACGTACTAAGTTTTAAAAATAAATTGCAAAAACAAAAAAGTACATCACAAAAATGCAGAACCAATGCTCCAGAAACACCCATGGGACTGACAGCCATGAGGAAGACCGAGGGCAGGAAGAGCAGGTGGCCAGGCCAGTACTGAAATGTCAGAGGACCCGCAGCGTGGTCAGCAAGGAGCTGTCAGAAGGATAAATGCAGAACACAGGGCTTGCACATGTTCTGTTCAGAGCTAACTCAAGCTTTCAATATATGCTAAGAGCTGAGGCCAAGAAAGAAAACACAGGTAACTGGAGCACGTGGGCATATGATGGCAGCAACGTGACCCCTGCACAACAGTAATGGCAGGATGCATAACGACTAAGTTACTGCTCAAAAGTCAGGCTGATTGGAGTCAGTGAATATGTCCACCAAAGAGAAGACAAATGGCTTCAGAATACAGTAATTAAGAGTATGGCTGAGCCAGGTGTTCTGGTGCCTGCCTGCCTGTAATCGCAGCATTCTGGGAGGCTGAGGCAGGAGGACTGCAACTTCACAAGTTTGAGCCCAGCCTGCGCAAGTTACTGACTCAGCAAGATGCTGTTTTAAAAAATAAAAAAAAAAAAAAGGGGGGGGGGACTGGGGATGCAGCTCAGCGTGAAGGCCTTGGGTTCCATCCCCAGGCACTCGCCTCCCCCTAAAAAAGGATCACAGAAGACTTGTACACACCACCAAGATAAGCACAGGTGATCCTCTGTCAAAACTGCTCAACGAAACCACTTCCAGGGCACCACGGGGAGCTCTAACAACATAGTTTTCTAACTTAGTAATCCAATTCTAGCTCTAACTGAACTAATTAGCCCCTTACGGGTGAGACCGAGTGCAATCCTGGGCAGATGACCAGCAGGGACATCTTTCAGAAGACACAGGCCAGGGTGGACCCTCTCCTGCCTCAGGGCCCAGTGTGTGCAGTCTGAGGAGGGAAAATTCTCGCAACAGTGAAATCCAGCAGGGCTTATTTGAGCAACACAAACAAAACCCCTTTGAACCAGATGGCTCCCAGCGCAAGGCCGATTGAGGACAGGAGCTGACGATTTTACAGGGAAATGGGGGAAGCACAGAAAACCTCCTTGGCTGCGGCTCCGCTGATCACCCCCTGGCTACATGGGCTGTAGTCACTTGTGGCCACTGGTCACAGCTTAACTAGTTAGCAGTTTACAATTTAATTAGTTAATTGGCTACAGGGCCTCCTGCAACCTAGGAACATTCAGTTCCTGTGATAAAACTGACTGACTTAGTCACCGGCCCAGTGCAGGTGCCCAGGCCCAGTCCATGGCCTCCCGTACATTTTATTTAGCACAAGGGACAGCCACTGGGCAGGCCTGCAGTGGTTGCCAAGCAGGGCGATTCAGATGGAAATCGCAAATCAGCAAAATGCAGCTCCGTCACTGGCGCCGGGCTTCGGCAGCCAGTGGCCATGAGCCTGTAGTGTACGGCTCCGAGAGCTCAGTACCCTGTTTACCATGCTGACCATGAACTGAAAGCGTGAGCCAGAATAAATCTCTGCTCCTGTAAGGTGTGGGTGTCAGGTATTGTGTCCAGCGACAGGAAAGTGACTAAGTGCTCAGGCACAACTGAGCTTTTCCATCCTCCTGCCTCACCTCCCAAAGTGCTGGGATTTCAGGCATGTGTCACTCTGCCTTCATTTTGGGAGCCTGGATAGGGGCTGGCTGTGTTGATTATAGACTTGGGTTTTGGGGCTAGCAGGGATGTCAACCATGCGCCCCAGGGCCTGCTTGATATCTAGCCTATCCAGTGCAATTTCCTGGCTGATCTTCAGAGAGACTAGAGTGGTGGGAGTCAGGAACTGGTATCGGCTTAAAAGGCAGTCACCAAAGTAGTCCCAAGAGTATGGGGAAGACAGATGAGTTGTCCCAGGCCACCCTGGGGCGGCAAGGCGAAGGATGGAGTACAGGGCAACAGCCCATGGTCACAGCCCCTGCTGGCTCTCAGGGGGAGGGGTGGGTGGGCCCTGTCTTCCTCTCTATCTCAGTGGCACCCTCAGGAGCAGGTGCTGGGAACACAGCCTGGGCTTTAGTCTAGGTGCCTGGGAGCCAAGGACAGTCAGACCCAGCTAGGTGAGAGCAGCTCATAGGGAGAGTGATGCGTCTCTGCACACTGAACAGCAGCGGGTGAGTCAGTTACCTTAGCGGGGGGGAGGGGTTGGTAGGAGGATCCCCTGCCGGCCCAACTCTCCTGAGCCCTGAGCAGGCACCGCTGTTCCAAAGCACCGCCTCCTATATCACAGATCCACCGCCCCACCACACGCAGTGCCTGCAACTTCCCTTCTCATCGTGGGCTTTTCACTTGTCTGTCTCCATGTCTCCTCTTCTGAAACTCTAACACCCTGCATGGTATCTAAAGAATCATTTTTATAATAAATATAAATCCTAATGATCCGGAAGGGCTAAACTATGTAGAGGCACTTAGCTCTCAACCTTTAGTGAAATCATTGCTACTTAACAAACAAGTGTTTCAGACCTGGGTGAGGGGAAGGTGGAGGGTTGTGCACAAGCTGTCCCCACTGGACAAGTAAGAGAACCCACAGGTCACCGATCCCCTGCCGGACCACAGCGTCCATCCAACCTAAAGGCCTCAAGGCTGATCACACCTCCACTTCCTGGCTGAACCCCGGGAGCAGCTGGGGTCTTGCAGATTTCAGAGTTGCACTGAGGGCGGGTGTGGGGTGAGGGTGACTGACCCATCTCCTCCTGCCCTGGGTGCTGGCCAAAGAGGACCAGGCAGTGGTGACGAACATTAATTGCCCACCATGGAGCAGGCACTAAAGTTGCTCAGGAACTAGCTCTTTGCTAATCAGCAGCTTACGGCAGAGCCAGTTAATTGTAAAGCAAAGACTCAGAAGGATCGAGTATGACCTGGTAACTTTGGGGTACAGAGAGGGTCACAGAGCAGCCGACACATGTATTTTGTGTTTGTGTCTGCACGTGCCCCCAAATCCTCATGCAGTCATGGGCGGACTTCTAGATTTTTGATTGATCCATAGTGCAATGCTGGGAGTGAGTGCTACACCTGCCCCTTGGGTAGGTAGTTTGCATACAATGTAAGGGAGGGAAAGAGGCTGCTTGCCGCTGCTGTTTCCCCCTTTTACTCCGGCTGTTTTTGCTATCTTCCACCGCCATGAATGATTGCTCTGTGCCATGTGCCACTCTGCTTTGGAGCCAGCTGAGTATGGACTGAAACCTCCACAAATTGTAAGCTAAATAAACCCTTCCTTCCTTAATTTTGGGCTTTGGGTATTTTGTCTCAGCAAGGAGAGAAAAGTAACCAAGACAACATAGTATCATTTTGTGTAAAACCTTTCTATCTTCATACTTGATATTAGTTCTGGCATGTGATTTTTAGAGAAAATGTAACTGAGTTCATTCAATTTTTTAAAATAGGCAAAAAGATTGTGAATAGCTATTTCACAAAGGAAGATATCTATATGGTCAACAAACATAGAAAATAGCTCTCACTAGGCATGGTGGCAAACACCTGTAATCTCAGCACTTGGAAGGCTGCAGCAGGACGATCTCTGTGAGTTCGAGGCCAGCCTGGGCTGCACAGTGAGTTCAAGGCCAGCCTGAACTATACAGCGAGACCATCTCAAAAAACCAAACCAAAACAAAACAAAAATCCCCAAAAGAAACAGTAACAAGGACAGACCTCAAAGATACTGCACTGAATGAAAGGATTAAGGACAGAGTTTCTAGCATGTGATTCCATGCACATGAAGTTCAGGAGGAGGACAGCTCAGTCAATGAAACAAGCCAGGCTGTGGTTACTGAGGGCAGAGAGGTGACTGGGAAGTAGCATGCAGAACTTCCGGGGACATGAGAAGCAGTCCACATCTCTGCCTGGGTCACAGCTACACAGGACACGCGTGACGTGAACATCCAGTGAGCTGTCCACCAGGGCGCAGGTGCTTTCTCCACGTAAACACAGAAAACAACAATAAAAGTTGAAGCTCAGCGGGTTAACGCTCACCAGACAGAGCTTCTACCTTTTGCCACTGTCCCAAACCTGAGCTCTCAGCATCAGGTGTCCTAGGGGCCCAGACTGGGGCAGACAGGGGCACCAAGTACTCCCAAGCGTGGTGGCCCCATTTTATAGGTGAGGTCCCTACACATCCCAGGACACAGGACTACCTGAACACGGGCCACTGACTCCAGAGCCTGATTTCCTAACCCACACCCTACGCCTTGCCACATAAGAACCCTGGATGTTTGCTGGATGACTGAACAATGGATAAGATAGCGACCACATCTTACCTCTTTGGCTTCATTCTGTGCTTTCATGTTTTCGGCAATGTACTTGACACTCTGGATGGCCTCTTTGATTTCTGGTGACAGAGCTGGGAGGGCCAGCACTGCATCGACAGACTCAGAACTGGAGCTCCTCGTGAGGTTGGCACTGAAGTTGGAGATCTTTACCCTGCGGTGGTGGCAGTAGCCGCAGGTCCCCTCCTGGCAGGGGTAGCCTTCCTTGCAGCCCTTGGACTCCACCTGGCTGAAGCAGTTCAGGTTTGAGAGCTCAGCGCCATAGAGCGGCCTCAGATTGGTGATGTGGCCCTCACCACCGGCCGGCCTGGTCATGAACATGACCCTGGGCAGCAGGTCCAGGAAGACGGTCTTCACCCACGTGGGCATCGTGTGCGTGGTGGGTGTCCGGTAGTGCACGTTGAGCACGAAGACCGTGATGACGATGGATAGGGTGACGAAGATCATGGTGAAGAGCAGGTACTCGCCGATGAGCGGGATGACCAGCGAGGTGGACGGGATGGTCTCGGTGATGACCAGCAGGAAGACTGTGAGCGACAGCAGCACCGAGATGCAGAGCGTCACCTTCTCGCCGCAGTCGGACGGCAGGTAGAAGACGAGCACGGTGAGGAAGGAGATGAGCAGGCACGGGATGATGAGGTTGATGGTGTAAAAGAGCGGCAGGCGCCGGATGTACAGGGAGTAGGTGATGTCGGTGTAGATCTCCTCGCAGCAGTTGTACTTGATGTCGTGCTTGTAGCCCGGAGCCTTGATAATGGCCCATTCGCCACTCTCCCAGTAGTCCTTGAGGTTAATAGAGGAACCGATCAGGACCAGGTCGATTTTAGCCTTGTCGTAGGACCAGGACCCGAACTTCATGGTGCAGTTTTGGTAATCAAATGGGAAGTAGGTCACGTCAATCTTGCACGAGCTCTTGAAGATGGCTGGAGGGATCCACGTCACCTCCCCCGTGTACTTGAGGAGGGCTTTGGTCTTGTCATCCACCTGGAAATTCCCAACAGCGCTGCGAGACAAAAGAGGGGGTCGGTGACATGGACATCAGCATTGTCCCACGGCCACCCAGCCCCTCACGCTGCACGCAAGGAAGTGGCAATGACGATTAGCAACACTGTGGAGTAAGAGAGCTAAGACAGTAAGCGGCCACCCGGTTCCCTGCCACGTTTCCTGATGCCCGGATGTCCCCCAGCACATTCAGCTACTCTGGGCATACCACGTCATTCCCTAACATACAATAGCAGTTAGTGCGCAGACTCCTACAGGCTAAACAGTGTTTCTCTCCCTTTAACGAAAAAACCAGGTGAAAGCTGTTGTCCTGCAGGCGGTTTTTAGGAAGCCTCTTCGGACATCCATCACCCGCTGCCCCTGTAGTCTGTACCTTGTTACTGTCTCCTGTAGCCTCCACTGGGTGCCCAAAGTGTGCATGAGACCAGATGGTGGCGCTAGAGGGATTGCACAGGTTTCTTTCCTGAGCCGGTGGGACAGGTTCACTTCCGCTGGGATCCCACCCTCCCCCGCCCTTCTGTTCCTCTCATTGATCCACAAGGGGTGACTGTGCCTCCCGACTGTCCCCTCTCATTCCCACCCACCATGCTCACTCTTGCTGCTTCTCCCCTTTCAGCCAGCCACGTGTGCCTTCTCTTTCCACAGAGGCAGGCTGATCTCTGGGACTCACTGGCACACAGGAGCTGCTTCCTTCATCAGGAGGTGTGCACAGGACACTCTCAGTGTGCTATTGCACACACAGACCATCTCAGCAGCTGGCGGCCCTCTGGGAGCAGCTGGTGCCCCTCGCAGTGCTCTCCCTGCCTGGCAGAGGCGCCTAACGTGTCCCTGATGGGCCCTACAGGACTCCACAGCCCCTGGCACGTGAAGACTTCTGTGTACTTTACACCCCTTTGCCTGGGATGGGAAGAGCTGAGACATAGGCATAGACCCCTCGGCTGGTATGAAGGGGACCTGCAGAAAGTGATGAGCATCCGCCCTGCACTTCCTTCTGTTGGTCCCTGCCTATTTACCTCCCTGTGCCTGGGTAGGCAGACAGTTCTCACCTGTGACGTCTCAGGGCCCAGGCCACCTCACCCCTGCCCCAGCCAGCTGCCTGCCCTGCCAGGTTGCTGGATCCCAACGCTCTTCCCTCCTTCAGTCCTGCTTCAGCAGGAGGAGCTGAGGGAGAGGGGAAGGGGTGGAGGACCGTGCAGCCTCCAGGTGGGCCCAGCCCTTATCAGCCACAGAGGATCCTGTGGGGCTGGGCCAAGCAGAAGCCTCCTGAGTCACAAAGCGTCATGAAGTGATGGGCTTTGGGCCGGAGATCTGGTCCAGGGGCAGCAAACCATGGCCACAGGCATCCCTATTTCCCCAAATGCATGTGTACTGGATCAGAGCCACGCCCAAGCATCATCCAGAGCTACAAGCGCAGAGCTGAAGAGCTGAGACAGAGGTTGATGACCGAATCCGTGATGCTTAACTTCTGGCCTCCACAGGTACCTTGCTGCCCCAGCGCTACTCCAGTCCTTGCATTGCACTGCAGAAGAAATGGTGGCTGGAAGCAGACATCCTTTGCTCGAGGTCCATAGAGTTTGTGGGCAGAGCCTTGGCCATGCAGAACCTGGGTCCCCAAGTGAGGAATCACCAAAACGTGTGTGTGTTGAGGACAAACACTAAGGTAGGCCTGCTGCATGGCAGCATATCTCTGCTGGCTTCCCAGGCCCCTGGTCACTGGTCACTGCCCACAGGAGCCCCAGGCTTGAGGCCTCCCAGAGCAGAAGGCCCAGGGCAATCTCAGCAGTCACATCTGTGTCACCAGGAGACAGAGAACATGAGGACCCAGTGGGAGACGGGGGCAGGCACAGGTCCAGCTACACAGAGCGCTCTGGGTAAGTATCTGTCAGTTAATGAATGGGAAGGCAAGGAAAGAAGGAGGGAGGGAGGAAGGGATGGGAGAGAGGGGGGAGGAAGGGGGAGGGAAGGGGGAGGGAGGGAGGAGGGAGGGAGGGAAGAGGGAGGGAAAGGGAGAGAGGGGAGACCTCACCCTACCATGAGCCTGGGAGATGGCCAGCAGCAGAGAAAAGCAGAAGCAGAAGGGCTCTGGGCCAACTTCCTGCCAAGCTATGTGAGTTGGTTAAAAAAGGGAAAGGCAGGCACATGCATGTGATTAGCTGAGTCCCACCTCAGTACAGGAAGACTAAGGGCATAAGTAGGTGAGGGTAGGGGAAAGATTAAGATGGGGAGGTTTTAAAACCTTAAATAGGGCAATGAGGACAGCCAAACTCACTGACCACATCATCAATGAAGTTGGGGTTCAAGGTGGCCCCAAGCCTCAGAAGATGAGGGTGGAGCCCACAGGACCCACGTGGAAGTAGCTGAGGGAGAAAATGGGGGTTCCCAGGTCCTAAGGGCTCCAGGCCTAGAAATCTCCAAGAAGTGACCACCCTCAAAGAAGAGGACCTTGCTCTACCCTGAGCCCTCAACCAAGGGACGGTGGAACAGAGGCCCACAGGTGCCAACTTGTGGGTGATGACAGACACTGAGGAACGCATGTGATGCCTGCGGGGATCTCGGCAGTAGCCTCTCAGATCCTCCCAGAGGGACAAGGGCTTGTGCCTAGCAGCCGTGGAGGAGCAGCAGAACAGGAGCGCCCCCACCAGCCAACCTAAAGCACGACAAAGACATCTATTTACAAATGCGCCACGGAATCTGTGCAGACATCGCCAAAGAAAGTGTACAAATGAGTAACCGGGTGACAGCAGCTAGGGACACCCCCACAATGGCCACAAGGGAGAAGGAATTGACTATATCACATGGTTTCTCTTATATGAGAAACCAAAAGAGAAAGAAAGAGCAAAATAAAAGATAGTAGGAGGTAGGGAGACAGATCTTTCTCCAGTGGAAAAGGGACGGAGAGAAGGAGGGGGAAGTGAGGGAAGGGGATGAAAATGAACTCAGCTGTGTTCCACCCGTGCACCGGCTCCACTTAAGGTACACGGTCATTACGGACTGCAAACACAGACCGGTAGAAGAAAGGAAAAGAGACTGAGGATAGCCTCGTGAGACCGGTTTGGCTAAAGCGAACAGAGAAGTCCGGAAATCGGAAATAGAAAAGACAAGTAGTAACTTGGCTAAATGACAACAGGATGGATAAAGAACTGATAGAACTTAGAAAAGTACTGGAAAAAGGAAGAAAAGCTATTTTATTTTATTTTTTTGAAACAAGGTCTTGCTAGTCCAGGCTGGCCTCGAACTCAAATCCTGCCTTGGCCTCCCAAGTGCTGGGATTATGGCGTATGTCACCACTCCTGGTCCAATAATCATTTTAGAAACAAAGAGTAAACTAGATGAAATAACAAGCTCACACCATGCAAAGCATTGTGACAAAAACAGAAGAGAAAGACACATCAGATAGAAACAAAGAATCTGAGAGAACATAATGTATAGGGAATACAGATGAAGAAGTTCTGATATATATTAAAATGGAGTTCTGAAGCTGCTAATTCCGGGATTTAGGAGGCTGAGGAAGGAGGATCTCTGAGAGCTCAAAGCCAGCCAAGGCTACATAGTAAGACTCTGTCTCAAAAAAATAAGAGTTCTGGGAAAGGAAATCCTATCAATGCAATATAATAAATATTTAAAATCGTAATTAAAACATTTATTACATGCATGATCACAGTGAACTAGACCTGCTGTTTGGGGATGGAACCCAGGGCCATCCCCAATCACACTGCCACTGAGCTGTTTCCCCAGCCCCTTTTGTATTTTCAATTTTTGTTTCAAAACAGGGTCTCACTATGTAACCCACGCTGGTCTCAAACTTACACTCCTACTACCTTAGCCTCCTGAATAGCTGGGATCATAGGCGTATGGCACCTGCGGGCTAACAGCTGGACTTTAAGACAAAGGACGACTTCCGGGAAGATGGTGGGCAGGGGAGGAGGGAGCAGCCTCTCTGAGATTCAGAATTCAGACCCTGAAAAATCATAACTGGGGAAAGAAAAGGAGTGGGTGGAGTCCTGGGACCCAGGAAGGATCTGACAGGAAAGTTGTGGCCTACAGAAAAATTGGAGAGACAGAACATAACACAGAAGAAGGAAAGGGCCATCTGCGCTTCTCCCCGGCTCCTGACTTACAACGTAGCAGTGGATTGGGTCAGGATCAGCGGATGCTGTAAGCAGTAACACCTGGTGAAGACTCCGGCCCAGGCACCTGCCGCATCCCCTAAAGTGAGTGCTCAGACACATACCAGGGAGGGGGCAGATTGAGCCTGGATGTGGAGCAGCTGTGGGCTGGCTTTATTTCAGGACTCCCAGCTTTACATTCCTACAGGGACTGGGTGAGGGTCAGCCACAGGACACATCTGCGGTCAGGGAGCCATGGTCAGGCCGGCAAGAGACACACAGAGTGTTTAAAGCTAAAGGATCCACGCTCCATCAGAGGCCAGGGTCAGCCTGAATTTGCTTGAATCTGAAAGCCCTGGGGCCAGAGCTTCTGCACTCCCAC